TAATTACATATATCCATATGTAACAACCACTTTTGGGAAAATTCAGTCCATCTTTTCAAAAGGTACAGTGAGAAAAGTTGATGGTTTTTTTCAGTTGGCTTTAGCCACATCAGCTAAAATCATTGTGTGTAAATGTAATCCAGTGTTGTGTTCACTGGATTTGCAGCCGGGGAGACTGAGGAACAAAAATGAATTTCAACGGAGATCTGGTGCCCTGAAGGTATAGATTTGGGATGCTTCCACCACAGTGCCACAGAAACTGGTCAGAATTTGATGTCTAAGCTGCCAAATGGAAAGTCATTCTGCTTACAGCACTCTCATTAAAAAAAAAAAAAAAAAAAGCCAAAAGCGTTTTAGGAAAAAATACACATCTTGCTGAAAATTATTCGTCAGAAGAGTAAGTCACACAACAAAAATTATTCCAGAAACAAGACCAGGAGAACGTAGTTTTCAATTTTAACATTCGCTGTAGAGGAGGCCTTGACTTTCAAGGAGTGTTCACTTTCTCCATGGTATGTACACGGTGGTGATGTGTAAGATCTCAGAACGTGGCTCAGTGGCTCAGACACACTCATAGATCCCAAAAGAGACTTTGCTAATGTTTAACTTTTTTTAAAAAAATTGCTGAAACCTGCTTCTTGTTTTTAAGGACCAAAGAGGAGACTCGATCGAGAACCTTCCAGCGTGAGCAGAATGAACATATTGCTAAATCTAACGAGGGCACTATGTCTACAGGGTGTTGTGTTTGGCTGGCTTGTTTTCCCAAGAGAGGCTGAAATTGTTCTTGCATTAACTATCCTTAAGCCTGCCTGCTGGGCCATGATGAGTTCCAATGTCATTGTCATAGGGGGCTGTGGAACCCTTAAAGAACTAAACCATGGCTTTTAGCTTGAGTTTCATTGTAGCATACATAACCTTACAGACTAATGGTCCCTATGAGACTGGGTTTTATCCTTTGACACAAAGTGTCATTTATCTCAGATACCAGCAACATGGACATGTGAGTCAAGGATTTTGTTTCTTTGTTTGTTTAAAGGATACGAGCTGTGAAGAACTACCCACCTGACAATACTCCTGTGCCTAGGCCCATGTATCACGTACAGCTCACAGTAATCCCAAAAACCTGTGTAGCATTGGCACAAACGTTGTAGCGCAGATGCCAACAGACGTGTAGGTGACAAACTTGTAAGGCACTTCAATTTCCAGTCTCTGCCTGGCCTCCTTGTTCCTGATGACCACCCGGAACCACGAGTATAATACTTGAAGCGAAAGCTTTTGTACAAGTTGGCGAACCAAGAGGATCAACACAATGCCCACGGTAAATCTGGACAGCGCTAAAACGAACATGTCAGTGGTCAGCAGAGGGCTGTTCTGAATTACAGGGAGCGATTCGGCAGGCTTGGACATGAGCTGGAAAAAGTGGTTGATCCAGAACCCTGTGGTCACTCCAACCCCGACGGCAAGGATGGTGGTGGTGTCTGCTCTGGTTGGGCTATAGCAGTCGGACACGGGGTAATTGTAACACAAGAGATACAGCACAACTATGACACACACAGGGACGATGGGACTGGCTGAGTCCAGATGGTCAATGAGGGTCCAGGCGGGATAGGTGAGGGCAATGAAGAGCGCAGTGATCAGGACACCACCTACTACGTCCTATGGGAAGGAAAGAGAAAAGAGAAATTAAGCTGGTGAGTACTTACTTGCAGAAACAGGGAGTTCTGACTCACAGAGGGTTGACTGGATTGGTAATACAATTTTCAAATTGTTTTTATTTTACCGTACATGTTTAAAGAATCTGTGCAGTTGTCTAAACTTAAAAACAGGGAAAACGCCCATGCTATCCATATTTTATGTCTTTTCACTTGGCTGTTCTATAGTTTAGAGTAAGTTCCAGGTTGGTTTTCTTCATGCATCGCTCAATTACCCAGTCCCTTTAGTTTCATGTTACTGTTCGCTCTGCATGATAGCACACAGGTGGTTATACAGTCTTCGGGGAGGTGGCACCTGCATCCTTTCCATGCAGGCAGGACTTGAGGTTGCGCCCTGGCTGGAATGGAGGAGCCACGTCCCCAAACCAAGTACAGAATGCTTACTTAGCCCATAATCGGACTAGCTACTGTCAAGTCAACTCCAACTTGGGGACCCCATGTGTAGGTGAACTGTGCTCCGCAGGCTTTTTAAACGGCAGACTGTTTGGGATCACCAGCCCTTTCTTCTGCTGTGATTCTGAGAATACTTGAACCTCCAACCTTTTGGTTGGGAACCGAGCATGTTAACCCTATGCACTAGCCAGGAACTCCATATGAAGCTGCAGATGCTCAATAGTGTAATGTAATTCAGTAGAAATAAAAGAGGTGGCCAGCTTTTTCAATTCTGGATTTGTAATCATTTTGAATGGAAATTCCAGCTAAGGATGGGGAACTACACAGTGCTGCAGAAGGCTGCAGGTACTCAAGGAAATTCATGTCTCTTGTTGGCACTCTGGCTTCTGATGGTGACTTTTGCTGCTCCTGCCTGCCATCTCCCATCCCTGTCACTCACACTCTGCTCTGCAGATTCCTCCCTCCATTCCTTCCAAAGTCCCTCCAGCTGTCCCTCACTGCTGTCCCCCACTTTACAAGCAGATTTGAGGACGTCATTACACCGCTTGCCTGCCAGACTCTGCCGCAGAACATTCACTGACCGCCTTTTTGATGGATTCCCAGCATTCCCAGTAGGACTCATACACATGAGCAGTACCTACAAAGACGGCCAAATGCAAATTCCAGCCTATCCCTCTTGGATTCTGATCGGAAGTGGTCCCAGAGTCTGAATTGTTAACACCAGAAGGTGATTCTGATAAAAGGGGTTTAATGAGCAAACCTGGAGAAATACTGACCTATAATTTGGGAGTCAGGAGCTCTGGTAGGGTAGTGGTTACGAATCGGGCTGTGAACCGCAAGGTCAGCAGTTCGAAACTACCAGATGCTCAGTGGGATAAAGATGAGGCTTTCTGCTCCCATTAAGATTTACAGCCTCGGAAACCCTGTACAGGGTGGTTATGAGTAGGAACCGACTCCACGGAACATAATAACAACAACAATAATCATTTGGGAGTCGTGGAACTCTCACAGCACAATAGTTGCACTCTTGGCTGCTAACCGAAGAGTTTGGCTGTGGCAGAAAGATGTGGCAGTCTGCTTCCATAAAGGCGGCAGCCTTGGAACTCTATGGGTCATTACAATTGGACTGGACTAGACAGCAGCCGGTCTGTCTATTCCCCAGTTGTCAAAGTCACCCAGGGTGTAGGTCTGATGAATCGATTTCACAGTGCTCTTCTCTCTGCTTTTCCAATTGAACTTTTCACTCCAGTCAAATAGGTCTGGTCTCTTTTGCCAGATATGCCCAATGCAGTTGTTTTTTGTTCTTTAATTTAAGGTTTTTGTTGTGGATTGAGTAAAAGTTTACAGGGCAGATCATCAGTTTTACATTCAACAAATCATACACCTTGTTTCATTACAATGATTATAACCCCCTCCATTTACCATCAGTTAACAGTATTTCTCTCTATTCACATTAGCTTTTTTTTAAAAAACACACAAAAAAAATATCCCACTCAGGCATATATAATTTACACCACCAAAGGGCAAAATCTGCAAGTCTGCCTCCTGGCCGGCCACCAGCTCTCTCTTCCCATGAATCTAGAGTCCTCAGCTGCTCCCTCTCTCCATGACCCCATCTCTGCCTCCATCTCTGGTATCACTGCTTCTCTGGATACAGTCCTGCATTCTGCTTGTGCTCTTCTCCCTTGATGGTGCTGGGGTCCTTTGTTTCTGGACTATAAGATTAACCACTCCCCTGCTTTTGTTAAAAAAACTTCTACCTTTATAATTGTGACAGTCACAATTAGTCATGATAACAATTACTCATTATTGAATCATACGAATCTTATCCCCATCTCTTTTCACCAGACCCATCTAGACAAGATGAAAACAATTCAGTAGAGACTCTTTCTTCCCCCTTTCTTCCCCACACACTATTAACCTAAGCTCCCCCTTGTAAAGCCAGTCACTTCATGCCTTTATTGCCCCCCCATTTTAGGTAGCCAATGTCTAAGTTGCCCGTCCCTGTGTACCCTGTGTGCAGAGGGGATAGCACTGATACTTGATGTGAAGACTCCCTCCCTCTCTGTTGGTATTTAGAGTTACTACCTCCATGAGTAAGGAGCTCTGGTAGCGTAGTGGTTATGAATTAGGCTGCTAATCTTCACAGTCAGCATCTCGAAACTACCAGCTGTTCCGTGGGAGAAAGATGGGGTTTTCTGCTCCTGTAAAGATTTACAGCCTTGGAAACCCTGTGCAGGGTCTTTATGAGTCGGAACCGACTCCACAGCACATAACAACAACAATAACCTCCATGAGTATAGGTCAGGTTCATAAAATTGTAGCAATTTTCCCTCGTTTCCTTTATCAAAAACTGTTTTTTTTTTTTTTTTTTTATCTTCCCTTAGTCAAGTTCTGATTATCAAGCCATCAAGGCTAGGTCAAATGGGTACTGTCTGCAAGTTTAGGTGTTCTTGTGCATCTCCCCTCACTTCATATCAGCTGGTGATTCCCTCTCAGCTCTAGCCCTCTATCCCCCTGTGGCCATGTGCCCAATGCAGTTTTATTAACATGATTTTGTTAAGTTTTTATTGACATTATTATTACTATTATTTAATGTTCAGCTTAACCATCTCTGCCTCTCGAGATCTGGCCAGTTCCTGAGGCTCAGCTCCAAAGCATCTATTTTCCACTGCAGATCAGTGCCTTTCCCCTCTGCTGCATTGACTGTTAAAGCACTTGCTTAATATCACTTAGAAAGCCCTTAGCTTGGATTGTCTTTTTTGTTGGCTTTCTTTTTATTTTTAGTGTCATTGCTGAGAAGATACAGAGCAGAGCATATGAGGGGGTTTCAAAAAGTTCATGGAGAAATGGAATGAAAAGAGACTGGAATTTTTCCACGAACTTTTTGAAGATCCCCACATACACCAATTCAACAGTTTCTATATGTGAAATTGACCAACACTGATGGCATTCTTCAAGTTGTGTGACTGCCCTCATCCTCCTTTTCTGAGCAGTTCCTCCCCATTCCCACAAACCCACTGCCCCCGAAGGCTCCTAGCTTGTCTTTTGAGATACTGCTATCAATTCGATCCCCTATAAACAGAGCTCATCGATCTGAAAGGAGCAACAGGCGGAATAGTCTTTATGAGTTAAGTGAAATTGTTGTTTGGTTTTAAGAAGACATCAGGGGATGTTTTGAGTTGAAGGTTTAAAGAGCATCTCAGGGCAACAAGGGTTTTAGTTATTTACCCAGCTTCCATGACTCCAGAAAGTCTGGAGTCCATGAGAATCTGTTCTGTGTGTGCCCCCTTTTTCTCAGATTGGTTTTTGCCAATCTATGAACTCACATGACTCTAAGTACCCACAGGGGTTGGGTGGGTTGCCTCTTTGCGTTTGTCCTCAGAGCTCTTAGCCTTGGGCCCACACTTATTATCTTGACTCCAATATGATAAACCTTACCTTTCATGTCTTCTGAACATCGATGACATTTAGCACTCACTCTTTGAATACCCAGAACAAAAAACTAGTCTGTTGCCATTGATTTGACTCAGACGCATAGTGACCCGCCTCCCTGTAGTAAATAGCTACAAAACTGCTTCCCTTCCTTCTGCCTTCTTTGGAAACTGCAGTTACCAAATTCCAAGACATCTGATTGGAATACTCCTTCTGAACTAATTTTGTCCATCTTCAGTGCATTGGGAGACTAGACTATTTTGGTCCAGAGCCCGAGTATTTGAGGCAAAAGTAATTGTAGCTAAGATGCCCACTAGCATAGTTTCCCCCACACCCCTGTCCCCTTCTGACCTCACAATTAGATTTTTAGCCATAAAAGATGCTCTTATAATAAAGACATTTAAGCATTTCTGTCAGGAAAACACTTGAACTATAGCTAGTGACCCTTCTAATCTGGAGCTCAAGTCTCTTATAATACAATTATTCTAAATGCCTTCTAAAAACAAAGTCCATTGTGCTTGAAAATTCAAGAATAACTTTTTACATTCATGTTTTTAAAGCCCACTAAATTCACAGAAATGATAAGTTCATTAACCAAATCTCCATCTGTAAACGAGGGCTGCTATGTTGTTTTCCTCAAATTCAAAACTAGGTGGTATGTCTCTGGAATCACAGAGTCACTTTGGCATGGTACGTGGGGGCAGAGGGAGAAGTGCTCACAGGCTGGACAGGGGGCAGGACAGCAGAGCCCAAGGGTGGAGCAGAAGCCAAGGGTAGGACTGGGAGAATTCTGCTGTGGGTCGGAATTCACTCCACAGCAAAAAGTGTGGATGGGGAAGATAAGAGAAGAGAGGGAAGAGTGTGATATGAACTGAATATAGTCAAAGATACAAAACAAAACAAGGCATTCAAATCCACTGCTGCTGAGCTCAATCTTGAGTCATTGGGACCTGATAGAACAGGGGAGAACTACTTCTTATGGGTTCTAAGGCTGTAAATCTTTGCAGAAGCAGACTGCTCCCTTGGAGCAAATGGCGAGTTACTTTTTACACCACTTGTTGTTGTTGTTAGGTGCCATCAAGTCAACACTGACCCATAGCGACCTTATGTGCAGCAGAATGAAACACTGTCCGATCCTGGGCCAACCTCACTACTGTTGCCACGCTTGAGTCCATCGATGCTGCCACTTTGCCAATTTCTCTGACCCTCCACCTTACCAAACATGATCTCCTTCTCCAGTGACTGGTCCCTCCTGACAATATGTCCGAAGTATGAGAGACGAGGTTTGGCCATCTTGGCCTCCATGGAGCACTCTGGTTGCACTTCTTCCAACACCACTAGAGGTCCATATTCAAACACTTCTTCTTGTTGGGTGCCGTCAAGTCATTTCTGACTCATAGTGACCCTGTATAGGGTTTCTGAGAATGGTTGGTGGATTTGAACTGCCAACACTGAGATTAGCGTGGTTGGCAG